CCGTAATATAAACACAAGTTTTGTTCAAACCGTCGCTTCCTTTCCTCAGCTGTGAGGGGTTCGAAACGTACCGCATCAATTTGCATGGGTTCAAGATCTGTGGAGTGATTCTCTGGACCTTTTGAAAATGTAGCAAATGCTCCATCATTTCTCCAGCCTGATCGTCTTTCTTGTCGTAATTCAAAGAGGCGGTTGTCACAAATAATTGCCTGAGATATAAGTTCTTCTAAAGTATCCGCCTTAGGCATGGTGATCAATAAGTTCTTGACATCATCTCTCAGTCCATATCGAAATCGTGTCATGAACGCCTTATCATTCCAATCAAGATCACATGTAAGCTGTTGAAATTTTGCAGCATAGATTGCAGCAGAACGTGATCCTTGTCACAGATTTTGTATCTTTCTTTCAGCCACTTTTTCTCGATCGCTATCTCCAAACGCAGCAGTAAGTCTCTCTATGAAAGCCTCTAGGTCGTACAATATTGGAGAATCCTTCTCCAATTGTGGAACAAACCAAGAGCGAGCATTTCTTGATAGAAGAGTATCTATGAAAGCAATCTGGCTAAATCCATTTGGATAACGAGAAGGGTATAGGCGTAGATAAAGCCGTACTTGTTGCACAAAACCTCGGAAGTTGGCTCTTGTTCCGTCAAACTTGTCTGACATATTCACTTTTGGTTCCTTCGTACTAATCCTTGAAGTATCTATAGGGGTCGTATGTGACACATGTCTTGCTTCTCTTAGTCGAATAATCTCTTGTTGTAGGCTATGAATTTCGCGTCTAGCTTCTTCGGTCACTAGATCAATTTGAGTTTCTTTACTTGGATTGCGAAGAAATGCAATCTCCTTTCGTACACTATTCATAGAGCTTGAAGATCTGCAAGAGTTGCCACTCTATTGTCTACTTGTGGAGATGCATTGTCTATGACCTAGTCTACTTCCATATTTAGAGAATAGATGGATTAAAATTTTGAGAGAAGAAGAAATTGCTAAGTCTCTTGGAGAAAATTGTAGCACTACCTGTTACTAAAACTTACTCGGAGAAAAGAAAAAAAAAACACTAAACGATTTCAGTTTTAGAGGAGGGTAATCCGCAACCTCTAAAAATGCCTCAATGCTTTCAAGAAGAGGGGTAATCTGCACTCTATTAAGAAGACAAAGCTCTGAAATCGATGTTAAAAGTCTTTTCTACTAGCTATGCTAAACAAAAAGAAGGAATTAATATCAGTCCAAGAGAGGGTAATCCGCAACCCTTAGAACGCTCAAGTATCTCCAAGGAAAAGGGTAGTCCACTCTCTGCCTCAAAGAACTAAGCTCTGATATTGTGATTGAGAAAATATCAGTTTAGAGGAGGGTAATCTGCAACCTCTAAAAAATGCTAATATACCTTCAAGTAGAGGGGTAATCCACACTCTAGTAAGAAAGAACTAGCTCTGATATCTCAAGTTAGTGCAGTCTCGACAAACTGTCACGGACACAAAATACAGACTTGAAATCTAAACAAGAAGTTCAAGAGGAAGTGGCAGAACTAGATTAAACAGATGAGTACAAGAACAACACCAGAAAGGTGAGCTAGAATTCCAAGAGATGTGTTGTCGAGACTGAAGAACTCTTCAGCCTCGACTCCTATATATACTATTGGCCTATGGTTCTAAGGAAGCGCATCAAGAAGCTTCCCAAGAACTATGAAGCTTCTCGAGCAACTACCCAAGAGCTAGGAAGCTTCTCAAGTAACTTCCTAGAATCTACTAGAATATTCTAAGAATCTTCTAGAGCCTTCTAAGGGAATCTTTAGGGAATCTTCAAAGAATCTTTAGAGAATCTTTGAAGAATATTCTAAGAGAATATTCAAGGAATCTTCGGGAAGTTTCTAGAGACTTCTTTCTAGAAGGTTCTAGAAACTTGTCTCTAGAAAGGTCTAAGGACTATGTTCCTAACAAGTACATGGCCACTAGTCAATGTATCAAGGAGGCAATTTGGCTTTAAAAGTTGTTGGCAGATGTAAGTTTGGTGCAAGAAGTTGTGACCACCATCATATGTGATAACCAAGGATTTATTATCTTTGCCAAGAATCCCATGCCTCACTCTTGCATGAAGCATATCAATATTCAACATCACTTTATTTGAAAAAAGTTAGAGAGTATAAAAATAGATTTGAGGTATTGTCCCATACAAAACATGGTGGTGGATGTGTTGACTAAGGCGCTTGCAAAGGAATGGCAACAAGCTCTAAGAAGAAGTATGAGATTGAGAGACTTTAATTACTCAATAACTGCCCTCCAACTCTTCCTCTTTATTTTGTATCAAGTGTACTAGTTGGAAGGGAGTTAATTAAGTTATTAAAGTCTCTATTCTCTCTTCACACCAAAATAACCAATCCTTCCCAAATAAGCTCTCCTCCTTCAACTAGTTTGACCAAGAATCTTCCAACAAGATGGCTTTTGCAAAAATTTAAAAAAACTCCAAAAAAATTGTTGTGGCCCATCTAATATCCAAAGTCTATAATATCAATATATTAGTTAAGTTGAACAAATATTCATCTTTATCCTTCCAAGTCAGCTTATTATTAGTAAGTAACAATAGCTATCTATGCAATATTTATCATCAATAAAAAAAAAAAAATTTAGTCACAAAAATGAAAACTCCTTCAATATTTGTAAATCTAATCATAAATCTATTGCCTCCAAAGATTTGGAAAAAAGGAAGGGAAAAAAAAATAATGGAGATTAGGAAAACTTTAGGGATGGATCAAAAACTTAAGTTGAGATTAAAGATAGAATAGAAGTTGATTGAAAGAAAAATTTCAAATATAAGTATCGGTAACAAAATAAAAGTTAAAAAAAAAGTTCAAGTCAAAAGATGAAATAAAATTAGTGATAAATTAGATATAAAAGAATAAACTTAGGTCCAAAGAATTAAGTGAAGCTAAAGATAGAATAAAATGAAGGTTAAAGTTCAGATAAAAAAAAGTAAAGATATTAAAAAAGTAGATTAAAAATTAGCCAATAATAAGTAAAGTTAAAGTTAAAATAAACTAAAAATGATAGGAAAAGAAGTCAAAATAATTCCAGCTAGAAATCAATAGTAAATTCTAGATTTTTGAAATAAAGTTCTAAATCAAAAATAATAGGAAATTTAGCTAAAAATTAGAAGGAAAAAAAAGAAAAAAATGGAAAAAAGTCTAAGAAAAAAAACTAGAAAATTTAAAATAGCAAGAAGAAAAGTGAATTCTATAAAAATTAGTAGAAAGTGAAAGTTTAACAATTTTAGAATTCGTAATTTGGATCAAAAAAGAGAGAATAGAAGATAGACTTAAATAAGTGACCTAGGACATGGCTTTATGTCGCTCTACTTGGAATCCAACTTCTTCCATTGCTAGCTCTTCAACACAAGTAAGATTGTTGTCATTCTTTATAGGCTATATGGAAGAGATGACACAAAAATCACATTTCCAATTCTTTTTATTGATCCCTTTCATTTAGTTATTGATGTTGTTGAAACAAATGCAACATTTCATCTACATCTACTTTTTAAGATGGTATTTAGACTTTATATTAGATAAGACTAAAGTTGCGGTGAATGTAATAAGTCAACACATATTAAAGTTTTATTTTATGCATTAGGAAGTAGTGAAGAAGATTATGTAATATTTGAAATGTATATTGAATTTCAAAATATATTATAGCAACAACAATATAATATTTAAGGGATATTGTATTATAGATTGAGCCAAAGACTCTACTTACTATAGATCCATAACAAAATATGTATTCTCTATTAAAAATGAAGTTATTTTTAAAAATAGTAAGCACCAAATAACTATTGTATTGTTTACAATGGAGGTTAAGTATGATGCATGAAGAAGGTCATGTGATTGAGTCAATTATTGGATAACATTAGATGTGTAATAAAGAAGACAACTTTAACAATATGTGTGATAATCAAAGGTGTATTTTGCTTGCAAAGAATCCAACTTATCATATACATACAAATCATATTGATGTACAATATAACTTCATATAAGAGAAGGTGGATAAAGAAGACATACAATTCAAGTATTATACTACAAAAAGGTTGGTTGCAAATGTCCTAATAAAAGCATTTGCAAAAGATAGACATCAAAGATTGACAAATGCAATGGACATTATAGACTTTGACTATTTGCAAAATGAGAGTCTTAAAAGATAGTAAATAATAGTTTTATAATTATAGATTATATTAAAGAGAATCAGTGATAGTAGGTAAGAGGTAATAAAGGTAAAAAAAAATAATTTGGTAGATGGTTATTCACACTAAAGCCAAAGACAGATGGCTATTATACTTATGTTGACAAAACTAAGTTGAAAAGGAGGTTAGAAACATTAAGTGAGCTTGTTAGGCTATTTAAATGGCTATGAGGCATGTGTGGATTTGATTTGACTAAATACATATTAAAAAGAACACTAGAAAAAACATTCTGAAGACCTTCAAATGAAGGTAGTATTTCATTTCAAACACTGTTTCTACATTCTCTTCTTTCAATAATATCCACCCCTTGCTTCTTGGATCCTTTCGAGTGCTTTGAAGAACCTCCTCTCCAATTTAACTTGTCATACTTCATTGATTGGTCTTTTTTTCTTGTAAAGTAATTTGAATTTTTGCTAAATAGGAAAGGAAATAAATAATAGACTACCAATTATTGAGACTTGATTCCGTATAAGATGGACGAAGAGGTTTGTCGAATCACTACAGTAAAACTCTCTATCACCACCACCATAAAAAAAAGTAGCTAGTTTTGATGTTGCTGTTTCGGAAATAAGCTGCCGTGAGGGTTCAAATTACTCACGATTTCACACTAACGATTCCAATGATTACGAGTTTAACAAATGAAAAGTGCATGACGGAGCAGACTTAAGAATTGGTCAATTACGCGTTCCAGCTTGACTTGTCGGCCCTCGTTTGACGCCCACGGCGTGCTCGTCTTCTACTTTGTCCTCTCTCCCCAATTTTCCATGCGCAGAGTGCGCACTGCAGACTGCGGATCTCCCAAGTCACTGTCCAGAAGATTTTTGGGCCACTTCCAGGCTGGAGCATCTGAGGTGAATGAAAGCGACTCCATTCTCGCCGAGGGGTGCAGAGAATCGTGCATTGAGCAGTGCGAAATGGGAACAGAAAATTGCACTGCTTGTAAGCTTTCATCGCCCTCACGCGGACCTCTCTTCGGTGGCGTGCCGGGGCTCCCCGACTCTCTGCTTCACTGCCCCAGACTTCGTCTTAGTCGTCTCCGGCTACTCTACCGGGTGCTGAGAAATGTGAGAGGTGTTGCGTGCTGTTAACCCACTGAGCGCATGTATGCTTTTATTGTACGAGTGAAGCGAACGTTTGCGAAGGTTGTACTGTGCGCTGCTGGTAGCGAGAGGATCCGACAGCACCGTGGAGGGAGGCTCGGACCTTCTGTTTTTCAGGTGAGTGACGGTGCCTTGCCCTCTGATCGGATGGTATGCACCATCTTCATGCTTGATAAGTTGTGGATGCTTAGACGTCGGAGGCGGCTTGTGAGCTTTCGTGGTCGCGAGCTGATCTCTGGTGCGGTTATGACCCAACTGAGAAAGCCGCTTCGAGTTTGCGCAACGGGAGCTTATCACGTGGATGTAGCGCTAATTGTTGGAGTTGTGCTCACTGTTTCTGGGGTTTCGTGTGCAGTTTGGAGCAGAGTAAGGAGTAAGAAGGAATAGCCGGTTCTTGAACGCTGATGTTAAATCTGTCCTCTTGAGATTGGATAGTGTCTCACCTTCTAAGGTGGGTGCGGGAGATGCTGGGGTTTCATTACTGCGTCAACGTCAGAAACTTTTTGCCGTCACAGCAGATTTTACGGGGACAGCAGACGGACTTGGGAACGCTTTTCAGCGTCGGTGGCTGCTTGCACCGTCGGCTGTGTGAGCTGTCTGGGCGTTCGACGTGTGGGTTACTGCTCGTCTTGCCTGGGCCGTTGGGTGTGTTTTGTCTTGTGTTCCAGGCTCTAAGTCCCGAGGTCTATCTCTGTTGCAATCGGAGCTTGGCCTCGAAACAGGCGTCAGGGCGGGGATATGGAGCCTTCTACCGTAACTCTGGTCCCATGGTTTATCTTAAGTCTCCTGGACTGCTTCAAGGCCTGCAAACTGGAGTAGCTGTGCTATGTGGACGGGGATGGGGCCCCCACAGCCGGTCTAAGAACATGTGTGCCGTGCCCGGAGCAAACATTCAGCATGGAATAGTAGTCTGGATGGTGGGAAGGGAGCTCGTGGTGTGGGGAACTTGGGAGGTGAGGTTTGAAGTATTCGTCAGTGGTGCCTTTAGGTCCTAACTAGTGACACGATCGAAGACATCGTATTGCATTTGGAGTTGTTAGAATCCCGTTTAGATTTGCTTCTGAATGAAGCGCCTTTGGTGGAATACCAGAATGAGGTCCTCTGCTTGACGTTGCGGTGGTCATGGGTCTCTAGTGCTGGCTCTGCTGACATCGCCGTTGGAGCGAAGTGCTCAAGTTTGTTTTCTAGTGCAAGAAGCTCAGTGTTTCTGCAGGTACGGAATGTTGGATTTTGACCTTATGGCTGGATCAGTGTTGTGTTGACATTAGTACCCATGTTGTGTGAACAGATTAATGTTGTTCATGTGGGTTTACCTTTCACGTGTGAATCGAGTTTGTGAATCCTGTGGTTGATGTTTTACTGGAGTGAATTGCAGCTTTGTTGTGATTTGCAGACGACTCTCTTAAGACTGATTTAGCATGATCTATTTAGTTACAGGGCGCATGGATATCGTTGTTGGTGGAGGTGAATACGACGTGAATATTTTTGTTTAGCTACGAATTGTTGCTTCGGAAGTTTTTCTCTAAGTCATCAACAGCAGCTTGGTACATCTTCTTGTCAGATACTTACTACGAGTATGTGCTATGCTAATACTTTAAATGTCATGGTTGATACACTTGTTTGCTTAGCCTCAACACTACTGTCCTGACACCATTATCCTCATACGGGTTATGTGCATTTTTGTTGCGTTTTGTTTGTGATGGGATCGGATTGCATTGGAAGGTTGAGTTGTGCTCTTTTATGACAGTGCCTTAGCTCAACACTAATTTTTATGATTGAAAGGATGCTATTTTTTTTGGCAGGTTTTTTAAATTTCAACATGGGAGATCCACTTGTTGCTCCTGCTCTAGTGGGATTTGGTGTGAATCTACTCCTTACGGAAGTAATCCAAGCAGGTAGAATGGCTTACAGGTGCAAAGATGAGTGCAATGAGTTGGTGGCTAAATTGGAGAGTGTGAGACCACTTGTTGAACAAGTTAATGATAATTCAAGCAAGGGAAATGGGGCGTGCACTCTATGGTTGAGTGGTTTCCAAAGCCTTTTAGAACGTGCCAAGGTTGTCACGAATGAGTGTAAGTTGGAATCACGATGGAGCAGAAGAAAGAGGATGGTGAAGTTTTGGCGGTGGAAGAAATTGCCATCACTGGTGATGAAAATCAGCAGTGACATTGAAGAGGCAAGATCAAATACAAGCTTGGTAACTCTTGGTATTGTGTTATCAATGCATATTCCAAAGCAAGTAGAAGCATTTAGTTTTGTGAAACAAGGCACTCCATCACTAATAGTAGGAGTGGACGAACATTTCAAGAAACTGAGGATGTCCATATTGCAAAGTCATGAAGGTGACAAAGCAAGCCATTTTGGATTGCAAGGGAGAGGTGGAGCAGGGAAGACCTTGCTTGCTCAAATGTTGAATAATGATGATGATATTCAAATGAAGTATGGAAAGGATTCTGTCATCTGGATGACTGTGGGACTTGACGCAAAGGTTTCTGATCTGTATGAAAAGCTAGGAAGGTGTTGCATTTTGGACAATGGAGTATCAGAGAAGTTCAAATTGATCAAGAACCAAGAAGAGCAACGCACGTTTTTGAAGAATGCATATGCCAAGAAGAAGGTATTTTTGATTTTGGATGATGTTTGGGAGAAGCCAAAGTATGATCATCATGACATGCTGTATTGGGTAGATATCGCGCGAGGTCAAGGATCCGCAACATTGATAACAAGCCGAAGTAAGTCAGTGCTCTGCAAAGTGCAGGCAAAAGTGGAAGTGGTGCTATCGCTTCCGAAAGAGGAGAGTTGGAAATTGTTTTGTTGTCATGCATTTGAGAGTGGTGGTGCTCTTCTCACTACTTTGGAGGAGTTAGCTCGGGATGTTTGCGAAGAATGTAAAGGCCTCCCATTAGCCTTGAAGGTAATCGGTAGTGCAATGGCGGATAAAGCGACTGTGGCAGAATGGAGGTGTGCCTTACATGATTTGAGGCGGTCGAAACCCATTGTGGATTCTAATGTGGATGATGAGCTCTTTGGTCGTCTTGAACTGAGCTACAAGGAATTGAAGGATGATGCAACGAGGATTTGTTTCTTGTACTTTGCAGCATTCCCCTAAGACTATGAGATTGAAGCGGACGAACTTTTGAGGATGTGGGTTGCAGAGGAATTGTTTGGTTTGGATCTTAGTGCAGAGGAAGCAAAGGATAAGGCGAGGGCACATTTGGAAATCCTTGTAAGGCGGTCTCTGATCGATAGGAATCAAGGAAGTAAGTATTTCCACATACATGATGTTCTTCGAGATCTTGCACTACACATAATTGGCAAGGCTGAACGTGGTGAATGTGGGTATGAATGCTTTTTCCAATCGAGAAAAGAGTTTGCCATTATTCCAAAAACAGAGTTGCTCAAAGATCTGAAGAGGATGTCATTTATGGGCTGTAACATTTGTAAGTGGCCAGAGGATCTGCAAGCGCCTCATCTTAAAGTTTGCATACTTCGGGAAATATCTGATATACAGAGCGAATTGATGACAAGCTTATTTAAAATGATGCTAGATTTGAAATTTTTGGATCTCTTAGGCAACCATCTTTCAGATGGAAAGGTTCCCTGTTTTGGGAGCTTGGTATCTCTCACGCACTTAGAATTGGGAAGGAATTCTTTTCACGAATTTCCAATGAGTGTTGTCCATCTGTACAAATTAGTATCCTTAAATGTCGCCGATTGTGGATCCTTGAAGGCACTTCCAAAGAGCATGGGCAATTTGAACTCTCTTGTGGAGTTGGATTTAGGAGGTTGTGAATCCTTGGAGGCACTTCCAGAGAGCATGGGTAATTTGAACTCTCTTCTGAAGTTGGATTTGAATGTATGTAGATCCTTGAAGGCACTTCCAGAGAGTATGAGCAATTTGAATTCTCTTGTGAAGTTGAATTTGTATGAATGTGGATCCTTGAAGACACTTCCAGAGAGCATGGGTAATTGGAACTCTCTTGTGGAGTTGTTTTTGTATGGATGTGGATTTTTGAAGGCACTTCCGGAGAGCATGGGCAATTTGAAGTCTCTTGTGCAATTGAATTTGATTGGATGTGGATCCTTGGAGGCACTTCCAGAGAGCATGGGCAATTTGAACTCTCTTGTGGAGTTGGATTTGGGAGAATGTAGATCCTTGAAGGCACTTCCAGAGAGCATGGGCAATTTGAACTCTCTTGTGCAGTTGAATTTGTCAAGATGTGGATCCTTGAAGGCACTTCCAGAGAGCATGGGCAATTTGAACTCTCTTGTGGAGTTGGATTTAGGAGGTTGTGAATCCTTGGAGGCACTTCCAGAGAGCATGGGTAATTTGAACTCTCTTCTGAAGTTGGATTTGAATGTATGTAGATCCTTGAAGGCACTTCCAGAGAGTATGAGCAATTTGAATTCTCTTGTGAAGTTGAATTTGTATGAATGTGGATCCTTGAAGACACTTCCAGAGAGCATGGGTAATTGGAACTCTCTTGTGGAGTTGTTTTTGTATGGATGTGGATTTTTGAAGGCACTTTCGGAGAGCATGGGCAATTTGAAGTCTCTTGTGCAATTGAATTTGATTGGATGTGGATCCTTGGAGGCACTTCCAGAGAGCATGGGCAATTTGAACTCTCTTGTGGAGTTGGATTTGGGAGAATGTAGATCCTTGAAGGCACTTCCAGAGAGCATGGGCAATTTGAACTCTCTTGTGCAGTTGAATTTGTCAAGATGTGGATCCTTGAAGGCATTTCCAGAGAGCATGGGCAATTTGAACTCTCTTGTGCAGTTGGATTTAGAAGGTTGTGAATCCTTGGAGGCACTTCCAGAGAGCATGGGCAATTTGAACTCTCTTGTGGGGTTGTATGTGATAGAATGTAGATCCTTGAAGGCACTTCCAGAGAGCATGGGCAATTTGAACTCTCTTGTGCAGTTGAATTTGTCAAGATGTGGATCCTTGAAGGCACTTCCAGAGAGCATGGGCAATTTGAACTCTCTTGTGAAGTTGAATTTGATTGGGTGTGGATCCTTGAAGGCACTTTTAGAGAGCATGGGCAATTTGAACTCTCTTGTGGAGTTGGATTTGGGAGAATGTGGATCCTTGAAGGCACTTCCAGAGAGCATGGGCAATTTGAACTCTCTTGTGCAGTTGAATTTGTCAAAATGTGGATCCTTGAAGGCACTTCCAGAGAGCATGGGCAATTTGAACTCTCTTGTGGAGTTGGATTTAGGAGGTTGTGAATCCTTGGAGGCACTTCCAGAGAGCATGAGCAATTTGAATTCTCTTGTGAAGTTATATTTGTATGGATGTGGATCCTTGAAGGCACTTCCAAAGAGCATGGGCAATTTGAACTCTCTTAAGGTGTTGAATTTGATTGGATGTGGATCCTTGAAGACACTTCCAGAGAGCATGGGCAATTTGAACTCTCTTGTGGAGTTGTATTTGGGAGAATGTGGATCCTTGAAGGTACTTCCAGAGAGTATGGGCAATTTGAACTTTCTTAAGAAGTTGAATTTGTATGGATGTGGATCCTTGGAGGCACTTCCAAAGAGTATGGGTAATTTGAACTCTCTTGTGGAGTTGGATTTGAGAGGTTGTAAAACTTTGGAGGCACTTCCAGAGAGCATTGGTAATTTGAAGAATCTTAAAGTTTTTAAATGAATCAAGTAATAGTATATTTTGAAATCATTTGAAGGCATGAAATTAGGATGTAGTTATTTATTAAATTTTTGAAGATTGAAGTGTGGATTTTTCTAACAATTTTTAAACAAATTGTAGAAAATTTCATGGTTTTATGTAGTTGATTTTTTTTTCTCAAATTTTGTTGTTGGAGTAATCAAGTTCATTTTATTTCTGCTTTTCAGCAACAATCATGTGCTTATCCAATGTGATTTGTCACTTTATAATATTCTCTTATCATCTCTCAAAATATTATGATTATTATTTTATAAATTTGGTCTTAAATGGTTTGATCAAGAGTAATTTATTATATTGAAATATCATATAATTCCTTTAGAACAAACTATATTTCTTTTAATGATAATTGTATTTTATAAATCCAAAGTAATTTTAAATGTATTTTGATAGTATTGAATATTATAATACTAGCAATTTAAAAGAAGAGTCATGCAAGACAATCTTTTGAAAAGATAGTCATTGTCATGGATGTATTTTATAGAGAATATAAGAAGAAGCTAAACATAGAGAGTATTATGAGAAAGTTAATATGAACTTGATTAAAC